AACATTTCTATACAATAAAAATCATGTGAAACAAAGACTTTTTTTTTAATCAAATTTACATTGTATTATATTTCATCTATAGTCAATATGAATATATATATTGTAATTCAAATACAAGTTTGATAGTCTATACTAATCATGAAATTTTATTCATGGTAGTTATTTCTATATTTAAATATCCAATTATAAACGTTCTGTCATCATAAGAAAGGCTAATCCATGACAACAGAAGTGTATTGTATTTACAAAATAGGTATTGATTATTGAAAAGGTAAACGTTCGTTTAGTGTTACGAAAAGAAATTAAAATGACTCAAACTAAAGATAAGCCAGGTAGGTAATATATGATAATAAAATATTCTTTTTCATATATTATTAATCAGTAGGAAAAACAATTCATGAGCTTGTACGAGAAAATAATGTTAAAGATCTTGAATTAATTGTTGGTCGAGGAGCAGGTGTTAATGAAATTGATTTAAATAATGATGATAAATTTACACCTTTACATTGGGCAGCTTATGCAGGAAGTTTAGAGGTTAAATTTTATTATATAATCTTATAATTATTAGCTTTTGTTTCTTTTTTTTTGTGAAAAGGCTATGCATTGGCTTTTATGGCAAGCAGCGAATATGGATGCTGCTACTGCTAAAGGATGGACACCAGCACATATTGCTGCAATTCGAGGACATGATGCATGTGTACAAGTAAGATTTGTTTGAAATTTTTCTCATCTATTTAAAAATATGGATAGGCTTTAATTAATAATAATGTTAATATAAATACACGTGATCGTCGTCAACAAACTTGTCTTCATATGGCTTGTGCACATGGAAATTCATTTGTTGCTCATACACTTCTACGTGGAGGCGCCGTAAAGTTCTTCTATATACATATTTTTATATTTATAAATGAGTTATTATTTAAGGAGATCAATCATCAAGATGTGAATGGATGGACACCAGCTTTTACTGCAGCTTATCATGGTAGACTTGGATGTTTACAAATGCTTGTTAAATGGGGTGCAAAATTAAATGATGTTGATAATGAAGGAAATACAGCTGGTAAGAAATCGTTATTTAAATATTTTCGAGTGTATATAATGTTGAATTACTCGTTTAGCTCATCTTGCTGCTTTGGAAGGTCATTTGCCATGTTTAAAATTTATTATTGCAGTTACTCGAGATATACCAGCAGTATTAGGTGCACGAAATGATCAAGGTGATACACCAAAATCTTTAGCTGAACAATTTTATAAAGAAGATTGTTGTAAATATTTGGATGCACTTGAATGGGAACAAGATCATCCTGAACAAGCTGAAAGTAATAACAAAAATTAATTTGGAAATAAAAAGAAATATTTCTATTTTATAGATCTCGCTTTTCCTGCACATGTTGCTGCATATAATGGAGATTTAGAACATGTAAAATTATTAGTTGAACAAGGTGTTATTAATGTAAATGAACGTGATGAACATGGTTCAACATTAGCTCATAAAGCAGCTGGACAAGGACATTTAGATATTCTTTATTGGTTACTTGAAAATGGTGCAAATATGGATTTACAATCAGAAAGTGGTGAAACACCTAAAGATGTAGCACGACGTTATGGTCAGTTAGCTTGTTTGAAATTGTTAGGTGGAGGTGCTGAAAAATCTGATGGAACTCAACAGAGTGGACAAAATGAAGTAAAAAGACAAAGTGAACAAAAAAGATTAACACCAAAAGAAGAAGAACGTCGACGTGCTAAAACAAAACTTGATGATTTACAAAAACAAATTGATATAGCTAAAAAAAATTTTCGACAATTTGGTGGACATTTAGATGAAGATGAACAACGTGAAGCACATCAACGAGAAATGCAAAAGTATTTATTTATTTATTTATGAAAAATATTTTATTTTGTTTTATTTTTAAGAAAATTTGATGATTATGAAACACAATTAGAATTTGAAAGACTTAAACGAGAAAAACTTGAAGCTGAATTAGATGAATGTCGACATGAAATTGCTCGTCTTATTAATACTATACGTTCATATGAAGAGAGAATGATACATGTTCAAGTAAGATTTTTATTTGTATATGATTTTTTAAATTATTAGAAAAAATATTTTTTTTAGCAAAGACCACCAAGTAGAACACGTACACAAAAAACTAAAAAACCATCATCAGCATCATCAAATAAACAACAAAGACGTGTTGAAAAACAAACAGGACTTGTATTTATACGCAGAAATTCAGTTAATTCTTGATAAATTTTTGATACATCCATAAAGGTGATGAGAGTTTTTTTATTATAATTTTTATTCTTTAAATGAATTTTAAAGATATTTTCTCACTCAGTGGAAGCGATAAATCTTTTATTTAAATGCAATTCTGAAAAGGTCAGAATGGATACCATCAATCATTTAATGTTGTTTTGAAGATTTTTAAATCTTTCATTGACAGATCTTCGTCTATCATTCATTTTAAATCGATTAATATCATCAATATCGATATTTGAAAGACCAATCTTATGTAATAAATCTTTGATTTGTTCATCATTTAAATGATTACACAATGAAAGTAATTCAATAACACGTGATAAGATATTAAATTGAATATCATTCAAATATGTATGAAATTGTTTTTTTAATTCCTGAAATTGTTCGTTATTAGTAGTTAAGTTTATTTGATATTCATCTGAAATTATTGGATCATCATCATCGGTATTTGTTGATGGAATATTATCAAAAGATAATGAATGAAAAATATTGCATAGATTAGAAGATGTTTTTTTCAAACCTGAAGGTTGATGAAGAAATGATGTTGGAATTGTATGATATTCTACTGATATAGATATAGTTCAAATATTTTATCTTCAAAAATAATATTAACTTTTTGATGATTTTTCATGTGATTGTTTGTGCTTGATAAGATGACATGGAATATTAGTCACTGTTGTACATGTTGTTTCATTTATAGATCGATTTAACGTCATAGGTGATGGAATTTGAGAATGAAAATGATGATTATTTTTTCTAATGATTGGAGGTTGAGTTGAGTTTATCATTTGTTAATGAATCAAAGTTTAATAGAAATTAATCTGATAATTCAAAAGGCGCAAAATAAAAGTATCATGATGACAAAGCATTTTTCTCTATGATGGAACACATTTTTTATTTTTTTATTTATTGAGAAACCAAAGAAGGAGGAAAAACGATGCTCCCGTACTCTTCTCGTACTTTCATCGTACTTCAAAAAATTTAAAGTAAATGAAGTCTCACTTTTTTCCTCCTCGCCTACAAATCATAATGACAGTGCATTTTTTATGCCATATTTAAAGAAAAAGAATTCAACATTTTTTTTCACTTTATCTCCGTCTCTATTTTTATTAAAAATGACAAGTAATAAGAAACATTTGAAATCAGGTAGGAATTGAAAGAATTATAGATATTTCCTTATTTAATACAAATTAAATTAAATAAATAGATTCTGAATGTCCACCACTAAAAGAAAATCAATTACGATTGTATAGTATGCGTTTTTGTCCGTTTGTACAACGAACTAAACTTGTTCTAGCTGCTAAAAATATTCCGTAAGCTTAGAGAATATTTGTTATTATTAACTTTATCAATGAATCTATTCTAGTTATGAAGAAATACTTATCAATCTTGGTGATAAGCCCGATTGGTATCTAAAGAAACATCCAGCTGCTGATGTTCCACTACTAGAATGGATTGATGGTAGTTCAAAAAAAACACAATCAATACCAGAATCACTTGTTATTAGTGATTATCTCGACAATTTATATAACGTACATCGTCTCCATCCTAATGATCCATTTACTAAAGCTAAACAACAAATACTTCTTAGTAAATATGGAAATGTATGAAACACTTCTATTTAATACAATTAAATATATATATTTCTAATCTTTTTAGGTAATATCTTCTTTTTATAAAATAGTTCGACAAAGTGAAGGTAATATTATTGAAGAATTAAATAAAAGCTTAGCTATTTATGAAGAAGCACTTCATGATACATTTTTTGGTGGATC